GGGGTTGGAAGTTTCAGTCTTGCTTAAGAGCTTTCGAGAGTGTGGTTAGCATTTGCTTGGCATGCGAAAAAAAAAAAGTGTCATTTTGCCCTGGATGTGGCATCCCGTGATGTCTTCTAAGTGCTTTGTAGTTAAACCCTTTTTTCTCTGAGCAGTTCAGTGATGGTTGATTGGGAAAAATGGAGTTTTTGTTCTTCCAATTGATAGTTCACTTTAATAAAATGTAACGTTAATGAAACGAATGGCAGGATTCGCGTTCCTTTGGGACTATAGCAGGTCTAGCATTGGCAATTGTTTTTACTTGGAGACTATTAAGAGCACCTAGAGGGCCTCAAAGAAGACAACCCAAGAGGCAGGCACCTTCAGGTAGTAGTTCAGTTGCAGGTAATCGTGCTAGTGAAAATGGTGCATCCACAGATGCTAGTATTCCTTCAGAAGATTCTGGAACCCAGAATGTGGTTGATGAGTTCTTTCAGCCAGTAAAGGTTGACAAATATTTTTGGATTTTTCCCATCATATTTTGTGTTTGACGTGGCTTAACTTTTAATGTGTTCTTGCAGCCAACACTCGGCCAAATTGTTAGGCAAAGGTTGTATGAAGGAAGGAAGGTAATACTTCAATTTTCGTATACATCTTGGTCGATTTTCATCTGGTTTGTTCTGAGGACTTCAATATTTCATACTTCTTCATGTAATAGCAAGTTGAGGTCTTATGTTGTTTGAAAACACTTAACAATATATAGAAAACTTCTTAGCATGCTACCTCTGTAAAATTTGTGGTTTTGATGTTCTAAACTGAAGGAGGTTGGTCACTACAGGCTTTCAAGTATCCTGATCATATTGCAGTCTTTAGAGTATATATTTCTGCATATTTTATTGTTTTGGAGTTACAAGGTTGTTATTGCGGGATGCATCAGTTAGTGACAATAAATTGAGACTTGAGAGAGAGAGAGAGATATGCTCCTGGAATTCTGAAAATTGAGCTTGGATATTTGATTCCATGTGATGTGAAGTACTTAAGAATGCTTCAATACTGATAGTAGATTGAAATTCCCTACTCATAAAGGAATAAAAATGTGGTTTGTTACTGAAGTTCTCATTTTTGCTATGATATAATCAGTATTAAATATTAACAGAGGATTCTGTGTGGATGCTGATGCTTTTGTTCTTTAATGATGTAACATGTGCTCTGGTTCTTCTTTAGCCCCTTTGGCTCTTGATTAGCCTTCTGTCAGGTTCTCTTATCACATGACATAGAGGAGGCAACAACTATAAGTCACATAATTTACATAATTTCGTCTCTTTGTCTACTTCTCCAGTAATGGCGAGTTCGGTTAAAGATGCATTCAGATGTCTTTGTTGCTGAAGTTTTGATTTTTTCTTGATTCATAGTTTCCTAGCTTTAACCTGCTTTTTGTTAAATTATCTTGCAGAATATGGACTACTCTGGTTTGGCTATTCTATATCAGAATTAATATCTTGTATCATTACTTAATTTTGCAGTTAACTTGTCGTCTGCTTGGTGTGATCCTGGAGGAAAGCAGCCCTGAAGAGCTTCAGGTTGTTCTCTTTAATCTTTGAACACATAAATAATCAGAAATCACTCATTTGTGTTTGCTTGATTTCCGCCAGAAGCAAGCAACAGTCAAGCCATCTGTTCTGGAGGTGCTCTTAGAAATCACGAAGTTTTGTGATCTTTATCTCATGGAAAGAGTTTTGGATGATGAAAGTGAAGTAAAGCACCGACTATATCTTATAC